TTATTTCTTAAGACACTTGATTGAAGTACTTGGATCTCTCTCTCTCTCTCTCTCTCTCTCATCTCTGTGGGAAAATATTTGCATTATTTTTCAGACACCCGTAGACCTCCCGGGGCGAGTATTCTACTGTATTTACATTAACTTAATATAACACAGGGGTGATTGGTATTTATAGTGAGTACCCCCTCTGCATATACATACTCTATATATATACCTAAAACTGTGATCACAAACAAGTTTTACGATTACATATCACTTATGAGTACAGAGAGATAGATCCTAAAGACAAACCAGTTATCAGACAAATATTATTTAGCGTACACTTCAGTGCATCCAGTGCTCAGTCATCGCAATGCCTATTGTTATGCCAGTCCTCCTGTCTATGTTTCTGTCCTCATGAGTGAGACTAAAGACACGCGACATATATAGCGACAAAAGTGGTCCAAAAGTGTCGGCGAAAACAGTTTTCACCGAAAGTTTTTAAACCAACCATTGACTCAACGAAAGTATAGTGTGTTTTATAATGTGGTATCGATTTTGAGAGAGATTTTTGGTGTTTGCAAAATAACACACAATTTATTTGTCTGATGCGTTAAGAGAGAGAGAGAGAGAGAGAGAGAGAGATCCAAGTACTTCAATCAAGTGTCTTAAGAAATAAGACTTGTTTGTAAAAGTTTTTAATGTTTTAATAACTTTTGAATACCCCTTTCGATGGTTCCCAGAGCATACATACCATTCCTCCTAAAAAGCCCCCAAACCTCGATTGGCGAATACGTTGAGTGTGTTGTGAAGTATTCAAACAATTTGTGAAACTTTTCATATGTGTATGTCTTATGTCATACTCTAATAGTCTTTTCGCATATCATGTCATTTGTGAGACTCTATTCACTGCACTATTTATACGACAAAAAAGAGTTTTTTATTTTCATATCTAATTTGACAACACTTTCGAAGCAATCGTTTCCATTAATTCCTATTTATTTCTCTTAATTGTTAAAAGTTTATAAACCTATTGATATGAATTTATATACAGTACTGTATACTGTATTGTCAATAAGCAGATAAAGTATTGAATTCTAACAAATATTTTTCATAATTTTATTTCATAATTTTGGAAACAATAAATTCGTAACACTTATAGTCGTGATAATATTCCGTGAGCGCAACCAAACAATCCTGGTTCACTGGTTTGGCTTTGATTTTGGCTTTGACTTTGGATTTTGCTTTAGCTTCTGATTTTGCTTTCGCTTTTGTGCCTGGCGATTCTAGATGATTTTTAAAGTTAATTATGTACAGTGGATGCCATAAGTAACAAGTAAATAATTAAATATATTATACAAACTACTTACGATTAGCCAGGCCACAACACCGACAATAATAGCGCCCCCAAGAACTATAGCCACTGCGGGACTATGAATGGACAGTGTGAACAAGGTGCCCACGGCTACAGTGCCAACAGCTGCATCACCCCAACCTTCGGGGCCTTCTTGTGCGTCGACACCTCGCGCGCCTCTATAGCCGGGTATTTCCTCCTTATAATCCTTCACATGCATTAAATGCGTCGGGCCTAGCTAACATCTTATATATAATAAAACTAACATGGTCAACGTCAGAATTAATAGTATACATAAATTGTAAAAATTATTTTTTATAAACGGAGTATTTTTTTAAATACAGTATTTTAAGTGTTGTCAATGTTTTGGTTATACAGTATTTATGACCCTTATCATTAAGTACTAAAGAAGTTCTAACATACCTTGTCGGAAGTAATCCTGGTTAATTTGCGTAAATTATGTAGATAAGATTGCGAAATTGACATCAACTTGAATATGAAATTAGAAACAACGATTTGTTAGTTTTATTTTCTGTGACAATGTTACTTGCCGAATTTATAGTTTATTAGAATTTTATTTATAATTGTACATCGTCAATTATAATAATTTTAACTCAAATGTCAAAATTGAGCATTACCTCGCTTAAATCAGAAGTGAAATTAACGCTTTGAAAACGAAAACTTTTAATATTAAACCTCAAGACTGCAGGTGTAGACCGAACGAACGAACATAGAATAGTCACCAGTAGTAATTAGCACGATCGGTAACAAACAAGGTAATAAATTTAGCTACAATTCTGGCTGCATGTTCGAGATATAAAGTTAATATAGTGGGGATGTGGGGGTGTAAACCTAACCTAACCTATATACAACAATACCATGAAATCTGTTTATAAGCAATAAATATAAATTAACATAAATGGGAATTCTACTCGTAAACAAATTCTTGACTATATTACTAATCAACTGTTTTTTAATTTTCACTATAAACTGTATTGCATACAGTGAATACTTTACAACAGAATAATACTTTTTAAATATATTAATTGCATTTCCAATTATCGTAATCTCATAAAACTCAGCCAGATAAATTCAAATTACAAACAACTATTAGTTAGGAAAATGATTGGTATTTATTTATTTGATTTAATTGTATCAACGAATTGGAAATAGTGTGGCAATAATCGTGTCAAGCAATTATTACTATGGAATATATCATTCACTTATTATTATACACATTGTCACCAATTATTACAATATTAGAAATCTAATCATAAAATTCTAGAAATTTATACTTAATAAAAATATGTTCACATAATATAATAGCATTTCTTATATATAATTCATATTAAATATATAAATGTTTTACAATTAATGAGAGAGAAATTCAAATGAATTCATAATGAATACACAATTCACTACACATTTCTATGGGATTTGTGTGGTGTCTGCGCTCACCGGCGGCACAGACTCGAGGAATGCGCTCAGTAGTGGTCCGCAACTGTAGGCTCGGGTGCAGCGGCCGACCCTACGGGTCCTATGCGGTCGGCGGCGCCTACTGGCCCTCAGCGCCGACTGATAGTCGGGGAACGACACGATCTCATTCATCAGCCCCTTGGGAATGGTGTGTAATGTCGGGAATACAGTGCTATGTTCGCCAGCCAGCGCTCCAGCGTCTCGAACGGAGGCCTGGGATGCGAGTGAGAGAGTGGACAGGGATTAGTGGTGCAGGCATTGAGTGGCGATAGGCATACCTGTCCTCGTCGTCCACTTCGGTGCACAGGAATGCTATGCGAAAGAAGAACTCCGGACACGACTCACAGAACTTCTCTTTAAACACGATTTTGTTGACCGAAGTGCGAGTTGCGGGACAAGTAGTCCGGTCAGCCAACACGCGACGACTGCCCACCCGATGAGTGCATCGGGAGGTGAGGTAACGAAGCGCTGAGATCCCTGGGCTTCACCACCGATGGCGGCGACACCGCTGTTGGCGATTGGCCGCCGCTGTCATCGCTGTCCGCGTCCGACGCACTCCCGGCGCTCCCGTTGAGGGCCATCGCGATGCCGGGGGAGGTGTGGCCGGGCGTATAGTAGCCGTTGGGTTGGGCGCGAGGGGTGGGCTACGACATAGTGTTAGCCCTCCAGAGGTAATGGCCGTCAGCGCCGACAACCGGTGCGACCGCTGACGGCCGTGGCGTCCGCTTTGGTGTCGTTGGTCAGCGATGAGTGCGATGTCTTGAGGTGGCGGCCATCGGTCATGTGGACAGTCGTGCAATCGGTGTGTTTGCGCGCATATGAGGGGAACGGTATGTCTCTGTTGTTGTTGTTATTACTAGTCATGTGGTGGACGTATTTTATTGAGCTGTCAATGTATGAGATGTTCATAAAGTCTATAATAGGGGTCAGGGATTTTTTGTTGCAAGTTTGTTATTGCATTGATAAAACATGTGTGAAATATTATTTATAGAACTCCACCCATATAATTGTCACGTTATATGATATCGTATTTCACACTTTGCTTATGTTGACGTGGGTTTAGCTTTCTATGTATTAAATCCTACGGTCGACGCTCGCTATAATGCACACTAGAATATACTGCACTAAACAGTGCTAAAACTTTTCAAACAGACAAAAATCTTTTTTGCGTTTAAATATCCTTGATAACATTTAGTAAAAACACAAATAAAACTCTTCACTATATGGGAACAACACCATCGGCACCCTTACCTCGCGCTAAGTGTATGTGACATAACCATTGGCTGTGTTTCAATCAGCGATCCATAAATACTATTATTGTTTTGGTTTCTCTCGAGTCGTTTGTATAGGAAATTGAGTTCAAAACTCGCAGTCCTTTGCAAACCGTGTTATTGAGACAAACAGTACAGTGAGAGAGAAAAGTATCGCTTAATTACTGTTCACAGTATTTGCCAACCAATACACTAATTACCAGTCATTTAGTGTTTAGTTTGCAGTTTTCAGTCTGTGATTAACCATTCAAAGTATGCATATATATATCAATGACAGCTATTTGCTATGACTAGCCATTAATCTCTTATATAATCCTCTGCGTGTCCGCTTCCTCCGCAGCTGTGGTGCTGATTATCACTCATTGATCCGCTGGAAAATGGCCGACGAGTTTGATCCGTGCGAATGCATTAATCTCTTGACTCAAGAGCAACGGATGCAACGACTCATTAATATGGTGTGTATGCCAGTAGCCGATGATAATCGGGGTGACCATCGAGTTGTGGATCCCGTACGGGTGATCACTACGTGTGGGACACCCGTTGGTGGGCTAATCGCGTGGCCAATAGCCGCTATACACGTGTGGTGACCAGTGCTGGCGATTGTCCACTCCATTCAAAGTTAGGTTTTTTGTGATTTTAATTAATGTTTTTTTGTGTGTTTTGTCTGACAGTTGAGAGACTCGCAGACCGTATGCAATGACAACGAGTGCTTCAATGATGGTATGATTAAAGCGATTAATTTGTGATTTAATTAATTGATACTATAGTCCGCCCTAAGAACCCATGAATAGTGTGCCTATGATTAGTGGTGTCTATGCTTTTAGTGACAACTTTGTTTTGATGTCATTTTTAATTTGGTTTTACTTTCAGTTACTCACTCATGAGGACAGACACATAGACAGGAGGACTGGCATAACAGTAGGCACTGCGATGACTGAGCACTGGATGCACTGAAGTGTACGCTAAATAATATTTGTCTGATAACTGGTTTGTCTTTAGGGTCTTTCTCTCTGTACTCATAAGTGTTATGTAATCGTAAAACTTGTTTGTGATCACAGTTTTAGTATATACTGTATATAGAGTATGTATATACAGAGGGGGTACTCACTATAAATACCAATCACCCCTGTGTTATATTAAGTTAATGTAAATACAGTAGAATAGTCGCCCACTCGCCCCGGGAGGTCTACAGGTGTCTGAAAAATAATGCAAATATTTTCCCACAGAGATGAGAGAGAGAGAGAGAGAGAGAGAGAGAGAGATCCAAGTACTTCAATCAAGTGTCTTAAGAAATAAGACTTATTTGTAGAAGTTTTTAATGTTATAATAAGTTTTGAATACCCCTTCCGATGGTATACATACCATTCCTCCTAAAAAACCCCAAACCTCGGTTGAAGAATACATTGAGTGTGTTGTGAAGTATTCAAACAATTTGTGAAACTTTTCATATGTGTATGTCTTATGTCATACTTTAATAGTCTTTTCGCATATCTTGCCATTTGTGAGACTCTATTCACTGCACTATTTATACGACAAAAGAGTTTTTTATTTTCATATCTAATTTGACAACACTTTCGAAGCAATCGTTTCCATTAATTCCTATTTATTTCTCTTAATTGTTAAAAGTTTATAAACCTATTGATATGAATTGATATAAATTTATAATGTATAGTAAATAACTAGA